CGACGTGGGCTTGTGCCCCACGCTGGAGGGGGAACATGGGGACCAGGGACGGGGCAGCAGCTGGTGACAGCTCTAAAGTCACCCCCGCTTTGTGCTCTCATTGGCTTCTATGGCACCACTGCTCCCCAGATTTTGGGAGTGAAGGTTCAGACTGGCCGAAGGAGCTGGGTGACACCTGGAGTGGGTCCCCTGCTCGCTTTTAAATGTCCCATCATGGCTGGAGACGAGACCCAGGAGCTCCTGCCACCCCCAGCCCTGCTGCGGCGAGCGGCCACTGGTGGGTCTGGCTTGGCTGGGGAGGGGAGGGGACAGAGATGGAGCCGAGGAAGAGGGGAAGGAACCAGTGAGCTCCCACCTCTGGGAAAGCTCAGCTCCAGCAACACCAGGGCTTCCTTTGAAATATTTCCCCGGGATTAATTGCCTCCCCTTCATCACAGCAAGCTGCTAGAGCAGCACGTGTTCTTGCCGCGGGGTCAGGTCCCCTCCCGCGGGGCCCGCAGCCTTTGCAAGCTCCCGGCTCAGTTTACAGTTGATGAAATGAAAACGATGCCCTTCCTTCAATTAATTCAGCTAACTTCCTCCTCTCCCCTGGAGGCACAACAGCAGCTCTAACATCGTAAATGATTTAGGAGTGGAGCCAGATAAAGACAAAGCTGATGGATGACAACTCACTGTTTGGGGGAATGTTTTCCTGCTGGAGATTTTGGAAACAAATTTATTTATTCCTCATTCAAAAATGAAACGAAGCCCCATCCCCAGTGACTCATCCCATGAGTCAGGGCACAACGGCCGGAGCAAGCCCGCAGCGCAGGGAGGAGGGACGCCAAGGATGAGCTGGACAGACGGAGGAACTGGGGCACAGGGGTTCTCAAGCGCTTCCCAGCTTTAAGTGATTATTACATAATTTTTGCCCATTTTGCCTCTAGGATGGACCCTCCCAAGCCCCCAGGCCGGCTGTTGAAGCAGCAGGTCCCTCTCCACTGGAAGCAGTGCCCTGGAAACACATCACAACCCAGGTGGAGGGAGCTCAGTCCTTCAGGGGGGTCCTGGGCAGCCCTGGGAGCAGCAGGGAGGAGGATGGAGACCCCCCTGCACCCCCAGCACTAACTGCTGGAAGGTGGTTCTGGTCCAGATCAAAATCTATGGAAAACAGGCTGACCCCCTTACCAAGTCAAACTTCTTTACATGGACAGAGCATCACCATGGCAAGAGCACAGGCTGATCTCAAAACTGTGACTTTGGAGAGGTCTTCCCAGATTGGGATCTTTTACCAATCTCTGGCAGAAAAGAAAAGACCTCACGTAACTAAAGATTACTTTTTTTTCCAGAGTGCATCAAGTACATCCCATACCATTAAAGCTTCCCTTTAATGCCACAACCTCCAGCCTGCAGCAGCATCCCCCCGAGCAGCAATCTAGTTTAAACCAAAAAGAAGAAATTTCAGGTGAGGCAGAAAATGCTGCTGCTGGAGAACAGGTTAAAAAAAAAAACCAAAAAAAAACAAAAAACCCAAACCAAACCCTCCCAGGAGAATCAAAACTCCTCAGCCCCAGCACATCCAGAGCACGATCCCCATGACTGCCTGCAGCCGGCCAGAGCTCCAGCAGCAACCCCTGGGGCCGGCTGGGACTTTGATTTAGCGTGTCCCCGAAACAGCCAGAGCTGGCGGTTTGTATTAAGTTGTACAACGGAAAGCTACTTGTGTAAGAGGATTGCTTTGGGATACGCGCGTCTAAAGATCTGTTTTAAGCAGCAGGCAATTCAAGTGTAATTGCAGGAGCGCATCCTCCCCAAATTGCTCTCGGAGCAGCTTCCAGATGGCAGAGGGACCCCAGGAGGGACAAGCGGGCAGGAGGCAGCCCTGGTTACCATCCTGCCAGGAATCCGGGGAATGTGCTTTCCCTCTAGTCCCTGAGCAGGGGCAATCATGGTTTTTTCTGAGACATTGCAGCTGCCAGACCCTGTGTAAATGTTGCAGAGTTGGCCTCAGTGCAGGCCACCCACTGTCCCTTATTGTCCCTCCCCGCTGTCCTCTCCTCCAAGCCCCAGCCAGTGTGGCCCCATCCAGGGCTGCAAACCAGCCACCAGCACCCGCTGGGGACAGATGGGTCCCAGAGCCCTGGAGCATCAGGGAGAGGATGGAGGGAGCTGGGGGACACAGAAAGGATCAGGAGAAGGATGGAGAAAGCATTGGGATGGCAAGGGAGAAGGATGGAGGGAACAGGGGGACACGGGGAGGATGAGGAGGGGCCTCTTACAGCATCACTGAGTTATTTCAGCCGAGCCCAATGGCCCGTGGAGAAGTGCTGTGTAATGGGGACAGCAGCAATTTGTGTGTCCCAAGGGGGGCTGGGAGAAGAAATAGTGCTAATGCCACTGCACAGAAAAAACACACAGCCAGGGTTTTCTTTAGAGCTCCCTGAGGATTTCCGAGGAAAGGCACTGTCAGGGTTTTACAGAGCATTTTACACAAAGTGCTAACCGCCACAGCAGCCCTTGAGAGCGGTGGCCCCAGAGGGCCTCCAGCACGGGAGCCACCTCTCTGGGGCTGCTACCAGGGATCACCATGGCCAAGCAAGGGCCTGGGGTGACACCGGTGACTTATGGATGCTTCATCTGCCAGGGAGGGGGGAGCAGGAGGGAGGCACTGGACCCAGGAAGGAGGAATAGGTGCAGAAGAACCAGCATTCATCGATGGAATACAGTGGGTTACGGTGGACACCAAACGTGCCAGCCCAAAACTCAGCTGTGCCCACACACAGCCAATGCTCTGGGGTTAACAAGAGTCCCACCAAAAAAAAAAAAAAAAAAGTCTTGACTAGGCTGCCAATGACCTCAGCTAACCCAACCCACAGGAGGTTGGCAATGATCTCCTTAAAATCCCTTTAGCATCCCCTCTAACAAAGTCTCGTACAGCAGTGACGTACCATCAAAGGTGCTCTAGGGAAAATTACTTTATTTTCTTTCTTCTTTAGAAACACTTTTTACAGTTTAAGAAATGAGGTTCTTTCAAAAGGAAATAAAATCACAACCCGAGGAATGCTCCCATTTACAGCGCCGTGGGCAGTGGGCATCGCGGGGTTATTGACCTCACTGTTAAGGTGGGAACATGTGAATATCTGCGCTCCTGGAGTTCAACAGGAAAACAAAAATGCTTGAGCACAACCCTGTTTTCTTTCCCCCACCAGCTGACCCCTCTGGGTCTAAATTTCATCTCTCTCTGCTGCTGGTTCAGTCAGGCTCCATGGCCAAAGGGCTTCAGCTGGAGCAGGTCCAGCCACCACACAGCAGATGGAGGTAACAGGGGAGCCCCACTGTCTGCTGCCCTCCCACACTGCAGCCTGGTCACCCCAAAAGGCTGGCTGGGCATGTGCTGCAGGGGCTTCAGGGGGTGGGAACCCTGGTCACCAGCACGAGAGGGCAGTGGGAAAGCCCTGTCTCCAACAGCAACACGCAGGGATGTGTCGCTCGACCTTGTGCCGAGACATCCCCTCTCCAGACTAAAAGAGTTGGTTTCTTGACACAAGGGACCTCAACCAGATTCAGTTGTCATTTACATCAGATTTCTGCCACCACCCAAACCAGCAGCAACACTGTTGACCTGCCCAGGCGGAGCGAAGGAAGCCATCTGCTGGTGCCCGATCCCGCTGGCTCCCTGCAGCACGTCCTCACCATCAGCAGGACACTGGACACCCACAGCAGGAGCCTAACAGGACCTTGAAGAATTCTATGTGTTGTTCAGGGCTGCCGGGGGAGGTGGATTAAACCACTCTGAAGATATTCATTGCCAAAACCATGATGCTGGAAAATATCTGGAGAGATTAGAAGTTGCAGACGATATAAACAGGGTTGCTGTTACAACATTCCCAAGTTTCAGCTTCTTGGAGATGGAACAGGGTCTTTAGAGCAATCGGCACAAGGGTTTAAGACACATGAATCTTTGTTATCGTCAGTACAACGGCTGTTCCAGCAGAGCTCAGGCTTTTAGATCCAGATCCACCTGCGGTCCCACCTGCACAGATCCAACCAGCCTGTGGTGTTGAAATCCCCTTGGCACTTCTCCCTATTGATGCCGAATGTTTCTGGGTGCCAGCACATGCCAGGCTCTCCTTGCAGCAGGCCACCGAAGTCAAACAAATGCTCCCCCTCTACACCCAACTCCAAACGCTCTCTGCTGCAGAGACCACAGCCACTGCCTCCCTCATCACACTGCCAGTTATAATAAATTTGTGATTTATCTTGAGATAGAGAGTGTTATAAATATTTTCATCAAAGAAGCCCTAAAAACAGGAGGGAAGGGTTAAACAAAGTCTTTACCCTCCTCAATATCAAAAGTCAGAAAAATCTAGGTGAATAGATTCAAAATCAGTGTTAGCCTGGGAATGGAGACCAAAACTCAGCAGTCAGCCAGCCAGCCAACCCAGCTCAGCACCCAGAGATATCTCTCACTTTGCTCTTTCGCTGGTATCTCACGTCTGAGGGATCAAATCCCCTTTCTCTGGACCCAAACAGCGCCCAGCGAGGAGTTCTGGCTGTGTAGTCAGCTGCTGTGAAAGTCTTGGACCCACCGCTCCTCTCGTGCTCTCGCACCAGCTCCTGGAAGCGGTCATAGTCTATCCAGGTGTGCCACTCGCCATCAATCTTGAACTGGAAAAAAAAAAAAAAAAGAGGAACATGTTACTGAGCTGGAGGCAATGAGGAATATCAAATACCACATTTACACTAAGACAAGCTGGGTGCACATTAAATTGGTTACCCAGCTGTAGTCTTTTTTAATTTTCTAGCCACACTGAGATCCAGGGTGAAGCCATCCAGAAGCTAATGGAGGATAACTGCTTTAATAGAAAAAAAAAAAATTTCAGGTGGACAGATACCCAGAACTTACTGTTTGAGCCATATTTCACTCATGAGGTTCAACAACGCACACAGATACAGAATGGCCATTTTTCTTACACCTTTAGTCATTTAGTGCTGTCTATCAGCAGATAATCCTCAGGAGGGTTTCACTGCCGGGTGCTTTGCCGGACCCTTCAAAGTACCGGATCCTACCACCACTTCAGCCCCACTTTGCCAGGAGGAACGGCTTCCACGGTGCATCCCAAAGCCTTCCCAGGCATGGCTGCACTTGCCAGGTGTCATTTCTACCTGAAAGACCTCGGTTTGGGGACCTGGAAGAGCCCTGGAGGAAAGGTGTAAATTTGAGAGCGATGCCCAGGTGCTCCTCAGTGAAGGGATCTTTCCAAGGTCAAGCACAGCCCCTGCTTGGAGCATGACACCAGCTCCGGGGCAGCCACAGCCTGGGAAAATGGTACGGGAGCAACACCGGAGCTGTCTGCTGCAGTGACTGTGATGGATTTGGGTGATTCTTGAAAGGGGCAAGAGAGCTGTGTTTGGGAATGGGGAAGATAAAAAGGTTTAATGACATAAATCTTCTTTCCATGTGAGAATTTTAAGAATTGCTTATTTTGACAAGCTGAAGCTGCATTTGTCTAGCAGACCTGCTCTGCTAATTTAGCAACAGCCTTGACTGAATCCTCAATTAGGATTTATCTGAGCTAAGAGCTTATTATGCACTTCATCCAAAAAAAAAAAAAAAAAAAAAAAAAAAAAAAAAAAAAAAGAGGGAAAACAGACTGGCTCCCTGTTTTTTTCAAAAACCTAATGGTTATGCATTTAAAATGGCACTTGACTTTCTGCCCAAGAGCTAAAAGCTTTTTTGGTTGAAAAACTGCTGACACCTGCAAAATTCTGCAATCAAACATTGCTAGTGCTAATCTATTGCTGCCTGCGTAATTACAGTGAATTCTTGCAGGAGCTGTCCTCCGCACAGAGCGGAGATGGGAGACTGCAGACTCAGAACAGCAGAGAACAAGTCTCGTGGTGAATAAACTCGTTCTTCGCACCTGAACGTGGAGGCCATGGTGCACCAAGGCGACACATCCTTTCCCATACGCACGGGCGCAAGAAAAGCGGTAGCAGAGGAGACAATGCATCACCTGGAGAGCAGCAGATCCCAAACAGGATCCAGGCTCGGGAGACCCGCACCAGCCTCCCAGTGCATGCGGAGGTGCCGGGCGGCAAGTTCTTACCGTGCGTAAGACTCACTGTGTCCCTCTAAACTTTGTTCACTGACACTCATCACAAATGAAGGGCAAACCCATCCTAACAGCAAAGCCTTTAACACAGGTAGCACACAGGAGAGTTGTTTAGCATGTGAGCTGTTGAGTTTATTCCCATGATGGGTAGGGAGCACTCCTAACACATCAGATGGGCTTCTTGAGGCCAACCAAGAGAAGCCTCGCTGTTGGAGTTTGACCCTGGCTGGCAGGAAAATTCAACACCGCTCACTCACCCTGCCTCCTCCTGGGACTGGGGGGAGAATGAAAGGGGTGAAGGGAAAAGAGACTCATGGGTAGAGATAAGGACCATTTAGGAACTAAACTACAATAATATTGGAAATCATAATTATGATAATAATAGTAATATATACAAATGATACACAGGGATACTGCTCACCACCCGATGACCAAGGCTCTGCCTGTTCCCAGCTAACCATCCTGGAGCAGGGAGAGTCCTGAAACCACAATCCTGGAGCAGAGGTCAAGCCGTTACCCCTAGGGTCAGGAGTGGCTCAGCAAGAGCCCCAAAGCCACAGGAGATACTGGTACCACCCAGAGCAGCTGAAACGAGGGTGTGGACCGCAGCCAGCACCCCCAGCCCAAACCCTGGCACAGATATCTGCCTCTCCAGAACCCTGAAGCTAGAAACTGCATGAAAACAGCGTACTATTACCTGCAGGAGGTAAGAGAGGGCAACTATTACCCCCGTCTTTTTAGTTGCTCCCTGAACTTGGGCTGGGTCATCAAACTGAGATTTTAAGCTATTGAATTTCAACTCCGTCTGAGCGTGTGGCCCCAACACAACGGAGCTGTTATGGCTGGGAGGCTGCAGGCGAAGGTGCCGAGACTGTTCCCAGCAGAACAACCGAACGAAAGCTGCCCGGGATTCATTACAAAAGCAGATTAAATAATATTAAATATTTTTAGTGCTGCAATAACACAGCTATAAAACATGAAGAAATGGGAGCAATCCTTTAAGTGTGTCATGGAAAGCAATTACTTCTGCCCAGGAATAAAAACCAGACAAACATGAGGTGGGGGAGAACAGCCTCAATTGCCCACAAGATTTACAGATGGGATTTTAACAATTTGGTGATTATTCCATAGATAACAAAAGATTTAAGACTCCAAATAGTTTCACAACATCCATATAACAGAGGAGCCGATACTAACCATTGGTGTTATTTCAGACTAATGCGGTCGGGTTTTTTTATTGAACTTTTCACTACCTGCTTAAGTCTTCTAAGGTGATAAATACATCGACAGAAGACAAACAGCTGAAACCCTTCCCTTGTGGATTTTTAAGCTAGCATCATAAAAAAAAAAGTAATAAAGTTCCTTCAGCTGGCTCTGAAGCCAGGCTGTTTTGTCTGGAAAGGCAAAAATCGCTCTCCCCAAGGGCTTTGCTCGAGCAGCAAGAATAATACAGGAGCCAGCGCACACCTTCCCCTCGGAGCTCGTGCTCCCAGGGTCCCCAAGCTCTGGTCCCGATGGTCCCACCACCAACCATTCCCTATGGACACCGTATGGGTACACAGCAACGCAAAACCCGCCTGAGTTCTGCAGATCCTACAGCCAGGGCAAGGAGCACTGCATTAATGCTGGGAAAACGAGAGGCAAAGGAAACAAGGGGGAACTCATAATAGCCTTCGAGCCCAGAAAAGCAGATCTAGGCACGATCTCAGGCCATCACATCACT